CGTCACTTGATGAAAATTACTTTTACAATTAATTTCTAAGGCTCGTTGTGTGAAAATTCGATGCAAAAATTCCATCATTATTATCATGGATAATTTTCCAACTGAATAATCTCACAGTGGTTGAATGAATCTTTGAGTTGACCGTTTCTTCTCAAGAGTCCTTTCCGAGTCCTGATGAATCAGAGGAAAATGAAAAATAATGGAAAATCACAAAGGGCCACTAATTTTGAAGACTTACATGTACTGGCGATACATGCTAACCTTTTGTCTAAGAACTCTTTCTGCAATATTCTTTATAATATCAAAATAGCAAGCTGTTCACGCCCCAAAAATATAATTAAATCGCCAAACCGTGAATTACACATTCATTGAACATGTAATTAAATTAGAACGTATTGTTTGAATTCATTTCTGAATTATTCAACACGTCCTACTTCCATTGGCTGGTGTTATACATATTCAGAGATACCTACAGGTTTGTCTCTATACGCTTTGTTATCAAAATAAGACTGGTATATTCTAGCCGCAACTTCTCTTGTTCGTTATGGGACACACAAAATTCGCAATAACTCTGAGTACCTATAGCTGTGAATTTGAACACGAAATTTGGGTCGCATAGTTGAAATATTTGATGTGTCCCAGTTAAAACTTTTCATGCACCCTTTTTATCTCCGACATGGCCACTACTATTAAATCCATATGATTTTTAACCAATTCTAACCTTCAAAAGACACGTGTACAAATTTCACAGCTGTCGGATTATTAGTTTTTGGGAGAGAACATTTTGAGTGATGCAACTTTTGTAAGTTCAAAGAAAATGGATGTAAATGATTTTCGAGTGTTAATAAAGGCATTGTATTTTGGCGAAAAATACTGTTGAAGTCAAGGCTTGGCTTGATAAACATTATTCGGACTTTGCACCAGGAAAATCAACTGTTGAGAAGTGGTTTGCTGAGTTTAAACGAGGTGACATGTATTGTGACTGTTTTTTTAAAATCTACATGTTCCACCAGAATAAATCATGTATATAATTGAGTTTTGTACTTACATACTATTATATAAAATACATTGTAGAATAGTTTGATGTTCTATTCCAACTCTGAATGAAATTTGTTTTGAAAATTGTATATCATCATCATGGATGCTATTTGCTTTCATCCTATTGAAGAACAAAACTGCGGACGCTTATGTTCAATCACGTTTTGACATTATTTGCGAATGTGGTTATTTTCCCACGTTTGGTAGACTATAAATTACCGTGCAATGAAAGTGAAAATTTCCCCCAGGATGTGGTTCCCTTAGACTGAGAGACGAAATTATCGGTTCCTAACACTTATCCACTTAGCATTAAACAAATCTTCGACCTGTCATTTCGAGTTGATTTCCCAGACGTGGTAAACCGTACAGGGTGTACCTACATACGTTTTACATGTTTTACGTCGACTGTCCCTATGGACATGTCGAAGGATTTGTGGTAAAACTTGGGGTTTAGGTCCCAAACAAATCCATTAGATTAATGTGATGATTGTCAGACTAATGATTACTTATGGAGCAATTGCTTGGTGGCCGAAGGCTTTACAGAAAACGGCTCAGGCGAAGTTTTCTGGCTTACAGAGCAATGAAGATCCTTCTAGATCTATCTCCCCTCCACTAGGCTAGATGGATTGCATATAGACTTGTGCACATTGCCAATTGCACAAATCAATTTAATGCAAAGTGCAACAGACTGTTGGTTGTCACTGGAAGTCACAGCATACTGGAATTGACCTCTGACTTTATGCCTTCAACTAGGAATTGCCTTATAAAATACTGTTCCCGAGTAGAGACGACTGGATCCTCCGGGAGAAGGAAATATTAATAGCAGATAGTTGTTGGTTCACAGTGGATCAAAAACACCATCTGGTTCTGGTGCAGGTGTTTTCTGCACCAGAACCAGCACATAACACGAAATTTGAATTCTCACAATCCAGGTCAATTGAATAACACAATCGGTTTGAAATCTCAGTAAACATAACATTCATATTATGTTCCCTGAGATTTCAGTTATTCTAAAACTCACCAATGATAATAAACAATAATGTCATACATTCCCGCATTGATAGACATAATCAAAGGTTACACAAAAAAAAATTTTAGAAACAAACAACCACATACAGACAGATCACGGAAGTTCATACTTGTTTGTGAAGATAAGAAATTATATATAGGTATTGATAAACTAGGAAGATACAAATATTGACTAAATTAATAATATGAAATATATAAAATACAATAATATACATGTAATGAGTAAAATGCAGAAAGGGCCAAGTTCATATATTGGTAGTGCGATGTTCAAATTTCGTGTTTTAAAACTGTTTATCTTTTGTCTTGTGCTGATTATTTTTCCTTTGCTCTGAATGGAAAATAAGCTGTTTATGTATATTGAAAATAGTATCGGCCCCAGCACGGTACCCTGAGGCACACCATATTCAATTCTTTTGAAATCACTATGTGTTTCATTTATTCTGACACATTGTGTTCGATTCTCAAGGTAGTTTTTAAATAACAGTAGACAATTGTCTCTAATCCCAATTTTTTCCAGTGTAGATATTAAAATGGTGTGGCTTACAGTATCAAAAGCCTTTGCAAGATCTACGAAAATGACAAGATATGGTCTACTTTCATCTAAGGCTCCATAAATATGATTTGTCAGCTCAATAATGGCATCTTCCGTTGATTTGCCCTCTTTGAAACCGTACTGCCTATCAGATAGAAGTTTATATTTATCCAGTGTATAATATATAAACATATATCCTAGTGTAAACAATCGCACATGAAAATATATGACAGTGGCACCAGAAGTACCGTCCCAACAAAGACAACACAATAGATTTGGAAAAAGATGTATTTATTTTTCAACATAATCTCCTCACAGATCTATACACTTTTCCGATCAATAAGAACTGCCTTGTTCCTTAAAATAGTCAATAACTGCAAACATCACTTCTTCATCATTGAAACAATCTTTGACCACTGAGCCATTTTTTAAAGTTCGCGAACAGAAAATAACCCGAGGGGGCTAAAATCTGGCGAAAAGGATGCATGAAGTAGCAATTCAAACTTCGATTCGTTAATTTTGGTCATTGCCATAATGGATTTGTGAGCTGGCGTATTGTCTTGATGAAACAGCACTTTTTTCTTAGCCAAATGCGGCTTGATTTCTTCACTCAAACGCTGCAGTAAACAGCGCCAGGTCTCATTAGTGCTGAACCACCGAACCACCTAAAAAGAACAAGCTGGAAAGTGAAGACAATGGCATGTTTCTCTACGAAGATGCCTTCCATGGAATCGATAGAAGTCTGGCGATCTTTGCGATCTTGAGGGTGCAGCTGTTTTCTCCAATAGGATCATTCCTAGTGGCTTGTGATCACTTTTAATAATGAATTATTTTCCGAAGAGATATACTTATGACATCTCTCACAGGCATAGGCAACAACCATAATTTCTTGTTCTATGGTTCCATAGTGTTATTATGTTTCAGATCAAAATACAATTGGTTTCTCGTTTTGTCCAACAACAGTGTGAATCTTCTAAGATTTCTCGCTAGTTTGGAGTTTTCATCGTGACGATAAGTAAAGAACTTGTTGATGAAAATGCGTATTATTGAGGTTATGCATCCACTATCATCTGAGGAAAGACTTATTTACACAAGTTGTAACACAAAGACTGTACGAGGATAGTTCAAATTTCGGGGGCTACCTACATTCGATTTGAGATTTTGTCAATGTTTCATGTCGGCAAATTACATGTTCACAGTTTCATCTATTTCGCATGTTTAGTTTGCCGTATTGTGGCTTTTGAATCACGATAATGCACCTTTTTACTCGTCATTGCTTATTCTCATTTTTTTGGTCAAAAACAACATCATAATCATACCTCAGCCACCGTATTCACCAGATTTGGCACACTGCGACTTGTTCCCAAAATTGAAGAGACCCATGAAAGGGCGGCGTTTTGAGGATGGGAAACAATGCTGGTATGAGTGAGATATATAGGGACAGAACTACTTGAAAGGGGTAAAATAGAAAATTATGAATAAATTAATATTTCCTGAGAAAAATTGAAATTTCAGATATCTATTTATCAATTGAAATTCATTCTTACAATATCAGGAAAAAGGATTGGTCTACTGCGCCGTAAAGGAAGCAAAGATCATAAAAAAAGGGAAAAAAGGAAGGAATAAGGATTGATATCAAAGCAATGAAATTAGAACATCACTATCAAAGAAGTCTTCTATACCGTTTTTGCAAGCATCTGCCAAACAATTCGAAGGAATCAAAAACATTATGCATTTTCAAGAAGAACCTAAATCATATACTGAATATTTTTATTCCATAGATGGAATCGAGAAATATTTATTCCGATAGGAAATCATACTATCAAATTGAGTAATTATTTTTATACTCTGAGTTTGTCTTCGCTATGTTTGAGTATCATTGTCAGATCGTGATTTATATTATCATTATGCAATCCAATTCTCTTTTTAACTTGTCCTATCTATGTTATATACTTGCTGCAAGGATCGATAAACTCTATTTTCATTACAATTATTTGTAGTGTGGAAACAAATCAACTAACAATATATTTGTTTAATAAAATGCATCTGGAAAAGGTGATTGTAGCAAATAATAATAGAAATATTATTAGGGATAATGCGAAATATTTACTATAATGTTTTTAAATAGATGAATACTAGAGTGCTAAAAAATTATTGTTTACTTAAAATAACCATATTGGAGTTGTTCTAAATACTAACGAAAATAACTATTGAAACTTCAAAGTTTTAGCTTTTCAGTTATATTAATCGTCTCTCATCCAATGCAAAATCCGTGATTATGAAAGAGAATTTGAAAATATAATTTACTAATCAACCACATAATTTCCAGAATGTGAAATAGATCTAGATCTGGTTCAGTCAATTCACTATAATAGAAATGAAATGAATAAAAAATACTCACCAATTCTTGCCGCACTAAGTTTGCCTCACAAAATAAATCCGATAAAACTCTTCTATCAGTCATACATTATCGAAAGGATCACAAAAGTTCCCACGGTTCAACCACGTAATTATTGTCAAAGGATCCTCAAATTAACGAACCATTGGTCTTATCGATAAACACTCCATCAGAAGACTGATCACAGAAGAGTTGAGAATTACCGACAATACCCCCACCACCCTTCGCTAGTTTTCTTTTATTTTCTCTGTCACAGCCCGCCCTCGAATTTCCGAGGAAGAAAGAAGAAATTCTTATTGACTTAGTGGAGTGTTAAACAGCTCATAATTGAATTTGAATTTGAAACTGGTCGACGGTGCAGCTGCCTAGGCCAGACTAGAATCGTTAATTTCATAGAAAGTAAATCCATATAGTTCACCAGTCGCTTCTTTTAAGTACTAGATTGTTTCACGATAGTCCGGGCGAAGTCCTCAATTTCAGTTATGTAATTCATTTAATGAATTCCCGCAGTGAAATTGAAATATAATATCATTCAGTTCACAACTGCTGTCTCACTGAATAAAAATTGATGAATTATAATGCAACTTTCAAATTGTAGTATATGCAGTGGAGCAACAAGTTTGAGTTCGTCTCGATTGGTCCATCGAAAAAGTCTGACTGTGGCTTTTTTTGATAAATGTCAATGAGAAAACACTGAATGTTTTTTCACTTCTTCAAAAATATGCAATTTCACCTATAATTTGTATCATGCTTTAATGTATAGTCGAAGTAACCGATATAGTAATTCTTAAAGCTTCGGCGAACTCAAAGGCCAAAAAAACCAATACAAAGGAATAATGCCGCTACGAATTAGTTCACGTGGACTGTAGAATTGGCGGTGACGAATAGAATGTGAGGATGGTTAGAAGAGTCGTGTTGTCAATGTTCTGTTCACGAACTTATCGCAATTTGAGTGTTGAAATTCGATATTGGTGCAATTATAATTACTTGAAATTTTTGTTATCTGTTTAAAATGTGGCGTCTTTGGACAAGTACTAATAGTAATACCAAAAAAACGATATACGACTGTTATGAAAGCAATGAGATTCCTACAATTGAAATCATAAGGAAGAAATTGAATACTTCCTGTCATAACGTGAGCTGCTGTGACAAAACTCTTCAGAATTTGATAAAGAAACTAGGATTTAGATTTAAAATAATAAACAAACGTCAAACAGTTATGGAAAGCAGAAGAATAGTGGAATTGCATAACAAATACTTAGAACGAATAACTATATATAGACAAGAACAACAGCAAATTTTCTATTTGGACGAAACTTGGTATGACACTCACGACACAGTTGAGAAGGGGTGGACTGATGGTTCGAGAATGTGTACGCCTAACATGCCTGCAAATAAAGGATCGCGACTTATCATTGTTCATTGCGGAGGAAGTAAAGGATGGGTTCTGAATTCTTTGAAATTATGCAGAAAAAATGAGAAAAGCAATGTTGACTATCATAAGAACATGGAAGCTAATATTTTTGAGGAATGGTTTGAAAACACATTGATCCCAAATTTGTAGGCGAATAGTATAATATTTCTTGACAACGCTTCCTATCATTCGCGACAGCTCATCAAAGTACCGAATAAAAATTCGAGGAAAGATGAAATACAAAGTTTTTTAATGGATAACAATTTGTATTTTGAAGATAACTATACCAAAAACCAACTACTTGAAGTTTTACAGACAAAAACATTTGAAAAAGTGGTATGCCTCCGAGATTATTGCTGAAAAGTATAGACACACCATATTGAGACTTCCCCCCTATTTTTGTGTTTTCAACCCCATCGAGTTGATTTGGGAAAAATTGAAACAAAACATCAGGCGTAAAAATAATTTTCCAAAATCTGATAAGAAAGTGGTGATAGAGCTAGTTGAAGAAGACGTATCTTATTACCGAAGAAGACTGGCAGAAAAGGATTAAAAACGTAATTTTAGTTGAAAAAGACTATATGGATATTGGACACTTCCATATCAATGGTGAAAATGAATTTATTATTGATTTAAATGACGACAGTGATAGTGAAATGGAGAATATGGAAGAGGAATTATCAGAAACTTTCGAAGAAAGTTAGTACAGTGTTTTTGAAGCGATCGATTGTATATATATATATATGTGAGTAAATAGTTAGGTTAGGTTAGGTCACAAGTGATTGGATCTACTCGACCCTCCACCGCAACCCGCAAGGGTTTATTGTGATTCACACCTATTCAAATGCTAGTAAGTAGTATTCAGAAGTATTTTCAATCATTACTGTGTTATTTGAATCGCTACTTTCCCACTCATCTATATAAACAAAATAGCACTATATCGTTCACTTGAACTATACCATCATACATTCATTAAACTACTCTGAAAATAATTTGTTCGATATCAGTCGATATGATCCCCCATGTGTTTCTTTATCACATGCTGGATAAATCCTGTAGTAATATTTTAATTGATAGCTCTGTACTTTCAAAGATGATTGTACCGGTTCCGTTCATATTTGTACATTGTGTTTTATCTCTGAAAAAAATATGAAATGAACAATTTTTTGAACGGTTTCAGAATTGCCACCATATCTTGCCCCCAGCAATTTTTTCCTGTTCTCAGACCTCAAGAGAATGCTCGCTGGAAAAAAAATTAGCGCTGATGAAGAGGTTTTTTGTAGAAGCTGAAGCCTAATTTCAGGATAAAGACAAATCATACTATAAAAACGATATCGGAAAATTGTTTGATTGCTTTAATCATCGTATCGCCCTTGAAGGCAGCTATATTGAATGATAAAATGAAATTTTCTAAAACAAAATTCTAGCTCAACTACTCTTTAGCGATTTACATTAGATTCGTATTGCTGGACATTATATCCATTTGGAAAAACGGTCTCAGGAAGTTTATTCCACATACACACAGTTTTCCAAATGGAAGAGTTCTTAAGTAGTGAAGTTCTAGGTGTACTGAATTGAACCTCAAAACGATGAGCAGCCACAGCACGTCGCGTATTTCTGATATGTACCGCTCTTGGTGGGGAAAGTATCTATAGGAAAGAGACAAATCTCCAACCTTTCTTGTTCCAGACTATCCAGGTTGCAAATGATGTTCGTGTCTCCAATCAGGTGGATGGCTCTTTTTTGGATGGAATTCATCAGCTTGAGGGTATCTTCTTCAGGGTATCAAAAAAGGTCTGATTTGAGCTTCATAAAGCATCAAGAGTTGCTGAGGTTTGTACAGTTTCCTAGTTCAGAACAGTGTTCTGAATTTTTGAGAAGCAGACTTTGCAATTCCAGCGACATGATTGTGTCAAGACATATTGGCGTCCATTTTAACACCAAACAAACTCATCAAAGCGGAAAACGGAATTGTTGACATTATTATATCCGGTTCAGAGACATCTATCTTCTTGGAGAAAACCGATGCCTGGGTTTTTGTGGTATTGAGTTGAACCTGGTTACTTTTACCTCAATTCGAAATCATAAAAAGAGGGTTGGAGACAATATGGATCCCTGGGGAACACCAGCGCTGATGGTTAACATGGTTAAACTAACATTTTTAATAATCAATTTTAACAACCTGACTTTTCTTATCATGACAACCTTATGCTATTTTGTTTTTTTTATAATAAAATATATCGACAGGTATAGAAACACATATGCCTACAGGAGGAGCCAGAATGGTCACCACATACTAGTTATACGAAATGCTGATATGGATTATTTTTGTAGCTAGTTTGGAACAAGTGTCTCCCATATACTTACGCGGAGTTTCAGAGCCATCTATTATTAAATTTGTTTGTTGAAAATGTTGGATAAGATTTACGGTCAATCGACTTTATCAAAAACACGTGCGTATGAGTGGTACAGCAAATTTGCAAGCGGTCGATATGTTTAGCCATCAACATCGCTGAAGTGAAGTAAATGGCGACTGAAAATCGCCACAGAAATTTCTATGTCTCACGGATCAGTTCGTATCATAGAGGTCGCTGAAGACTAGACACGAGTCAGATATGTGGAAAAACTCATGGATTTTGCACCACAATATTCACCTGATATGTCTCCGGCCGATTTTGTCTTTTTGCAAAATTCAAATCATCACTTCGAAGCACCTCTTCTCAGTCGATAGACGACGTAAAAGCGAGTATTGAAGTCGATTCAAGAAAATGCGTTAAAGAAATGTTTTGATGATTGGGTTGTTCGTAAGTGTATAATAATAATAACTTTATTCACAACGTATACCGATTAGAGTACAATTGAAACAAAATATGTGAACAAAGTGGTTTGACGATAAGAACAGAGTTCTTGTTTCGCAAGTGCCCTATTAAGCAGGCGATACAATAAATTTGGATGAATAATACATATTTTGCGTTTCATTGACCAATTACAGGTACTTTTTTGACATCAAAGTATATAGGAAGAATACTAACAGTTTCAGATGTATTCCTGATAGCTCTCACCATTGTCCACAACAAAAAATAATGCGGTTTTCTTGTTCATAGACTGGTCATGTCGCCACTTGAAAAAGAATGGTGCGATGTCGAGAAATAAGTTACAGTTCTTCCATATCAACCAAAATACACCAATAGATTTGTCAAAATTTTTGAAAAATTAATAATAATAATGATAACTTCACAGCGTATACAGATTAGAGTACAATAAAAAATATGTGAACAAAGTGGTTTGGCGATAAGAGCAAAGCTCTTGTTTCGCAAGAAGTTACAAAGAATATGTAAGTATATAAATATTTGTAAAAAAGTAAGTATGGCGTTCATGGAGTAGAAACTATGAAACATTCTATCAAATTTTGTGAATCTGGTGTTGTAGTTGAACAAATTAAATTTCGGCTTGAGGTAAAATAGACCGATTAAATACTAGACAAACAAAAAATAAGAAAAATAGATAAAACATTAGACAAATATTACACGTTCTATAAGAATAAAATATTAATGTACAAATGGATAAAATCTTAGGCAATATGGATAAGACTATGCTACTTACAATACTGTGTGATAACTTTGGGATAAATTTGACTAAGACTAACTTATTTCGCTCTATCTTTTTTGAAAATGGGTTTTCTTATTGGTTTTTTGAATATTGGTTTGAAATAAGAATTTTTTATTTTGTCAGGTACAGTGTTATATAATTTAGTTGCCATGAAAGAATATGCTCTTTGTGAAATTGACTTTTTAACAGTAGGATAGGTTAGTTGGTCGCGATGTCGTGTGTTAAAGTCGTGGTTTCGTGATAATGCTTTATTTTGGCTGAAATTATACTTTACGTTTGTACAATAGTAATATGATTGTCTCATATCCATAACTTCACACTCTTTAT